ATATATATATATATATATAGATTTATCACCGCTGGAAGAAGGTGTCAATTATCGTTGAACTATGCTCACTTTGACAACTATGTTTAGATTGACATGAACTATAAAGTTTTTATTAGTGTAAAATATAAATTCGAATAATATATATACGAGTAGGTATCTTCCTATTTATTACTATTAAAAAATTAATAGCTATTTATTATTTTTTTTTGAATTTTTCTCCTCTCGTTATGCATTATTCTCTTAGTTGTTAATTTTTTAATAGTGGTTATCTTAAATTATCTGTATTTTTGTGATTTACAAAAAAAGAAACAAATTGTGTTTTGTTTTGTAAGGGGTCGTTTGGTATTACATGACATGTCCTCTTCCTTCTTCAATAGCTCGGCCTTGGCCTCCACCTCGGCCTCCAGAGTGTCCACAATGAGCCCTTAGCAGCTCATCCTTCATGGTGGAGGAAGCAGCCTCCAAGGCAGCAGAGAATTCCTCTTTCTCCCTCGCCGCCAGAACTTCCCTCCCATCCAGCTCGGCCTTTACAGCTAGGGCCGATTGAATGGAAGCAACAAACACATGAGAAAAACACGAAGAAGAAAATTAGACCGAGCTACCTGTTGGGTAAATTGAGCAAAATGAAGAAACTAATCTCACCTCAGCGGCGTAGTCAATGGTCCTCTGCAGAACGGACCCCGGGTCACTTACAAATTTGGTTTTAAATGTAATGTCAATAGAAATGTCGAGGTTTCAATTTAATGGAAATACCGATAAAGCATCGATGTTGATATCGATAGATATTTATGAAAATTTTATTAAATTAAACTTATAAGATTTGCAGCTTGACTCAACTCATTAAGACACCTATCTCTAACAAAAGTATCAAAATTTCGATACCGCACCATCAATAATCCCAACTCATATTTTACCATCTACACATTGGTATTGTTATAGAGAACAAAAACGACCCGAAACAAGACAAGGAGTTGAAGCCTGAGTCATCGATTGGGGGAGACCAGCCGGCGACGTAACGGGCCGGCCCAAAGAACGACCTAGCGCCGAGGCAGAGAACGAGGAAAGCGACCGACGGAGAACCAACTGGGCCGAGAGGGCTCGGTCCCGACCCCTGCTCGACCCACGGCCCAGCCCGTGAATCTCCCACCTGCGATCAATGATCCCTCGGGCCCTGCAACGCTGAATTAGGGTTTGACTACGGAGGTTCTAGAATCATCTTCACGGCTATAAGTAGTAGCAGTGAGATCCAACCCTAAGGAAGCAGCTGACTGATCCTTAGCTAACTATTTTCTTAACTCTCCCTCGCTAACTTAAGTATCGGAGCCCGTGTGACTGAGGTCACACCAGTTTAGATCGGTTTGATTTTGCAGATATTAGTTCCCTTATCATCGAGTTTGGTGTGTGCGAGAAGAAGAGCCGAAGGGTCAAAATCCACGCATCAACAGGTATGCAATTTAATTAAGTGAGTTTCTATTATTTAGAACTCATTAATCAAATAGTTTCCAAAAGCCTATCTTAACTTTCTAAATTTGGATATATTATGGGAAGACGAAATTAGACTCGACAAGCGAACAACATCAAAGGTTCAGGAACCAGATCCGAGGCATGACCAAGTCTAGGGTGTGATCAGATCTATGGTCCAACCAAGTTCCGGCCGACCACCCGTTCCCGATCGACAGGTCTTTGCGATTGGCTAGCCAGCACCCATGCCTGATTTTTGTGCTCAGTTGATACGCCCAACGAGGGATTGACTCACATTCTCTTTTATCGTCTGGTCGATGGTACTATCTCCAAAGCACAAACTATTTGAGAAGAGAATATGTTATGTCAACCCTAGGTTTGACATCTATAAATAAAGAGAAAAACCTCACAATCAAGCTAGGCAACAAAAACACTACATATTGCTATGTTTCACATTAAACCTCAATTCTAACTTAAGTATCAGAATGTGTGTGGCTAGCACCACATCCGTGTATGATCCTTCTATTTTGCAGGTCTGTCGAATCCTTTTTTTTATACTTGAAGATGGGTGCAAATTCGGTAAATCTCGAACTAACCATATAAAAAATCAAATGTGTTTTAAAGAGATGTGAAAATATAATAAAGAAAGGGTAAGAAAACAAAACATGTATAATTTTTAAAAATGGAAAACTAAAAATACGATAGTTATAAAACAAGCTAAGACCTATTTCCAAACTTTCAAATATTTCATTAAAAAAAAAAATCTTTTTCAATTAATCATTAAACAAAAATTTTAAATTTTGTTTCACTTCAAATTCTTTTTTAACATTGACATTTTCTCATCAAGCGAATAAATAAAAAAAGTGTGACTATATCAATTTTCTATCTATAAAATAATTTATAAAAAAATTAACAATAATTGAAATGATGTTTTATGCAAATTTATAAGATTAAAATACAATATTTAAAAATGAAGAGATTAAAATCAAAATAAGCATAAAACGTGAAAAATTAAAATAGAATTTAAATCAAAATAAAACAAATAATTTTTTAAAAAGGGGAGAGAATATACGTTAAATTTGATAATGGAAATGGGTTAGTTAAAGTTCCTTTCATTCGATCCCTCAAAATAATAATAATAATAATAATAATAATAATAATAAATAATAATAAATTAAATTAAATTAAACGGCAGCCCACCTTACAATACACATGGCGGATTAACCCTATAAAAATAATATCTTTAGATTTTTCTAGAGCCAATAGCATAAAATGAATATTTATTTTCAAATAAATTCAAAATTTTACAAAACTCACATAATTCAAGTCGAAGTCAAATTTAAATGTAATATAAAACGCATTAAAAAAAGTTAAAACTATATTATATTTGAAAAAAAGTATTTTTGTAAAAATATATCTTTCTTAAATTTATGCTAGAGCATGATTTTTTTTTTAAAATTTAATAGTCATTTTAACTAAAGATTAAAAATATATATATATATATATATAGAAACATACCCCTATTATTTTAGTCCTCTTGTTTTGAACATTTTATTTTAGTTTTGTACTTTGAAAAATTCTTTATCAATTTATTAAATATTTTAAATAATTCATTGCAGTCTTTTTTTATTATTAAAATAACTTTGGTAATTCAACGTAAGGTAAGGAAAATTAGTTATCTCCTTTATATATCTATTAAAAAGAAATTAAATAATAACTTGAATAAATTAAAGGGCAAATTGCACAAACCACCCTCGAAGTTTTGTAAGTGTTACAATTACACCCTTAAAGTTTCAATTATAAAAATTGAACCCTCCAACTTCTATGAAAGAAAAAATTAAACCTTTAAATTTTCAATAGTAAAAATTAAACCCTCAAACTCTTACGAATGATAAAATTGGACCCTCTAAATTTTTTATTGTAAAAATTAAATCTTGAAAATTTAAAAAATTGAATCTATTAACCTCACCATTCTTTCCGGCAGCCAAAATTCCTAATCATGTCTCTCGCACTGCTCTTACTTCTCTTCTTCTCCACATCTTCGGTCGCCGCCCTCCCTAAACAAGCTGGTTTGTACCTATACTCTACCTCATATATCTCTCATTTAAAACTAAAGATAAACTTGTTTTCTTTCCAATTAGTCTGAAACTGGGAGAAAAGTCCATTTTATTGAAAACCCACAGGAAAAATTTAGTCCTTTTTTTGTGGGGTTTCTTTAATTTGTTTTTTTTGCTCAAGTGGGTTGGCAGTGGCACCATTTTTTGCAAATATTTTGTGGGCTACGTTCTATATATCAGGATTAACACAGATTAATTAGTTTGAGAGCTTCCAACTCTAACTGCAACGGTGGGGATTCGATCTACACGGCGTGGGAGAGCCTCCAATTTCCCACCAACACCATCGATAGCTTCCAATTTCATAGATCCAATTTTTTAAAAAAAATCAGGATTTTATTTTTATTTTGGATGCAATTTTATTCAAGATTAAGGGTTTGATTTTTACCCTGGAAAGTTTAAGGTTTGATTTTATCATTTTACAAAAGTTTGAGGGTCTAATTTTTGCAATTGAAAGTTTAGGGGTGTAATTGCAACAACTATCTTATTGGTTGATTTATGCAATTTACCCTAAATTAAACTATTTAAATAGTTTTACAAGAAAATTCCTTAACTTTTATTAATATTTCTTTCTATATGCACCTACCCTACCCATTCTACCCCCACCTAACCCCCAACAATCAAAATTCTCTTATTTAAATAAATGTAAGTGAAAAAAATATCTAAATTCCACTCCTACCAAACAATATACATATTATAAATTAATGGGATATTTTAGATTTTCATTTCATAATAATTTTATTATTTCAATATTTTTTTTATAAAATTAATTTTGTTGGTTCATATGTCTACACTACTTTTGATTTTTTAAAATATATTCTTTTTGTCGAAGCGAGTATAGTTCAGTGGTAATTGGGGGCGTGAGCTCGAATCCCCTCCCCAATATGTTGTACTTAAAAAGAAATATATATTCTTTTTATTTTTTTTAAATATAGAAATGGTTATCCAACAAAATTTTAAAATCTATTTTTTTTAGTTTATAAAATTTCTGAGATTTCAAAAACAATTTAAAAATTACAAAGCAAAGAAATTGAAAGTATGTAACCTTTACATTTTTTTCCTTTTCAAAATAGAATGATTAGCAAACCAAAATCTTAAATGACAATTAAAAAAAAGTTTTCTTATAAGGGGATTAGACTTCAAACTAACAATTTTTGGGGGAGATTATTAGTGAGCTAATCAATTGAATTATATGACAGAAAATGGTTAAAAATTTGAGATTGATTATAAGGTTAGTCGGTTCTTTTTAAGGTTGAACAACTTTTTAACTCTTCTAAAAAATGTTTCATTTGTAAAAACAAACTAAAATGAGAGGAAAAAAGAAAACTATTTCTACTTTAAAAAATCAGAAACAAGTTTCTATTTGTTGAGAAAATTAATTGAGTGAGAATATATGTTTTTAGATAACTACTTTCSAAAGCTTTTTTTTTTCTTGCTTTTCTTTAGTGTTCCTTTTCATGGATGATGTGATTTATAGGGTAAATGAAGTTTTTTCTTTCTTTCAGAATCATGGCATTTGTGAACATATAATAACTTTAATGCATACAATAACACTAATATTTATGAGTATTTCTTAAAAAAAATACTAATATTTATGAGTGTTTACCGGTAAATTTCGGTGAATCACAAATTGCCACGTAACAACGACAAAATGTTATGTCATTAAATTGAGACCAATTAAAATTTCACAAGTATCTTTAAATTAAATTAAAAAATATTAGAACTTCATCTGGTTCAAATTAGCAAAAGGTTTAGGCCCATTTGGTGAGCCCAAGTCCAAATCAAGCCCATGAACTTATAAATATAGGGATGCAAGATAAAATCTATAGGATCAAAATATCTATGAAGATCAAAGAGAAACCAAAGCAGATCAAGAATCAACAAGTCGTCAATAGACCGATCAAGATCTACAAGCCAATAGGCCAATCAAGATCTATCATCAACAAGTCTTCAATAGGTCGATCGAAATCAACAAGCCGAGAGGTCGATCAAGATCAACAAGCCAAGAATTCAAACGAAATAATCAGAGGATAAATATTAAAGATTGTACGAACCTCTAAATATCAATAAAAATTGTATTTAGCCTACGAATATAATTTTTTCAGAAATCTCGTGTCAACACTGAGTTACTTATAAAAAAATATATTTTAAAAAGAAAAACAATGTTTTTAAAAACAATTTGCCCAAAGACTATTTCCAAGCTTCATAGAGTAAATTTAAGATTTAAATATACTTTAATGATATAAACTTGTTACCTACTTTCATCTTGATTCCGAACCCACAAGTATTCTATTCGCCGTCTCTTGAAAATATTTTAGAATTGGTCTCTACTATCAGTGAAGCTTTTACACTAAAATCATGTGAAAATGTTAGTTGATTGATGTAGAACAACATATACTATGTGGATATTATTGTTAATTGCTTTCTCACTTCATAGACATTTATATATTCATCCCGATCATCATCATCCTTCAATATTTTTTTTGGTAATATTATAAAAATAGCTTCTCGAGCCCAAGCTTAGTATATGTTTATGTAAGAAAATGAACAAGATCAAACCTTGGTCAAGATCGAACTCGATCCAAGCTCTGACTTCAAGTACGATGGAAAGACCTGCGCAAGTGGACAAATAAGCAGCTCGAACTCAACAGTAGGTTCGAGGAGAAATTTCGTATCTGAGATTGAAATGAGACCCTCTATTTATAGGTGTAGGCAGGCGGCCGAACGGGTTAACTAAGATATTTGTAAGTTGACAAAGGAGAAATGACTAAGTCTTTCACCTCTGATGGTGCTTTCTGGGAGTTGTTTAGCATATATCTTGACTAATTATCGTCCCTTCCCCAAACAGAATAATATTACAATGTCAGCGGAACATAAACCATGATCTTGTTACAATTTATTAAAAATGTAAAAGTTAAATTGAAAGTTTTAAATTTGACAAAATGTCAAAACAATTTTTAAAAAGTAAGAAACTAAACAAAGAAATAATAAGCAAGTTCATAATTGAACAGAACATTCCCATTATGGTTATTTACAAAAATAGCCCTATAAGATATTCATAGAACATAGCCCAAGAATATGAATATGAAGCCCACACCCCTTTATGTTGAAGGGCTAAAATGGAGGATTTTTTTTAATAATGTTAATTTTAAAAGTATTTACGAAAATATGTCCCATCTCAAACTATTTACCAAAATAATGTTTTGAAATTCATAGGTCGTCTCTTAACTTTCATAAGTTGGTCGTCCCTTCAAGAGACGACCAACTAACGTAGCGCTTACTCAGTGCCACGTTAGTTTTTTTTTTTAAATTAATCATGGTCGTCTCCTGAAGAGACGACCATGTTGTTTTTGCTTTTTTTTTTAATAACCTGAAGAGACGACATGTTGAGTAATTTATAAAAAAAAAAACAGTGTGGCCGTCACGCTGTTAAAAGCGGACGACCAAGCGTTATTTTAAAAAAAAAATTACGTGGCGCTGCGGAAGCGCCACGTTAGCTGAAACGACCAGTTGTTGCCACTTCACAGGTCGCTATTTCCAAAGCATTATTTTGGTAAATAGTTTGAGATTGGGCATATTTTCGTAAATACTTTTAAAATTAACATTATTAAAAAAAAATCTGGTGTTAGTTGTATCTTTAAATAAAACTTTTTTTAAAATACCCCTGAGAAAAACACATAAGAAATTTAAATAATCCAATTTTCCACCTCAAATAAAGTAGTAGAGTGTCTTATCTGTCAAGCTGTAAAAATCAATACGGCTAGTAATTCTGATATTTTATTTTAATATTTTAATTAATAAATAAAAGAATGATCCAAATCCATATAATATGAACCAATATATGATGAAATTATTAAGGTAGGTGTATTAGGAAGATGATACTCCAAAAAAATCTAAAATGTGTTAGAATGTCAATGAGATTTGAAGAGAGGATAGACATTATGCCATGGGTGTCGCAAAAATGTTCTTTTTCTCGTTTGGTTGGTTTTATTTGTGTGCTCCACGCAAAAAAGTACTCTTTATGTTCGTTGGTCAAACTATTACAAGATCAACTACTACTTCAAAGATTTTTTTTCTTTGATTTCGTAGGTTGATAACTATATGATTTCTTCGAATTATGCTCAACCTTGTCATGCATGGTCACAATCAACTCGACGTAGCTATTATCTTTCTTCATTTTGAGTTTGTCAACTATCATAAGGTCTAACCACCGATTAGGTAGAGCTTTGTATAAAAACTAGTAAAACGACACATACCTAAAGATCTCTATTTGTCGTTATCATCCGAGTTATGATGAACTTAACTTGAAGTAGATTTGTATCCTATTATTTAGATGTATCAACGACAATATACTCTATCGATAATACTAGTATATATATCTTATTAACCACGTACACTTGGTCCACTCCTACTTATTTGTTGGTTTGGAGATGACAAATAATGTAATTAAATTGTGGCTTGGTTCTATAAATGTCGTCCCCACAGTACTTTATAAAGTTGATTCAAATTCGATATCAGAAGTCATTAATATTAAGGGTTACCTTACGGGGACGTATTTACAAGGTCTCAAAAGAAGAGTTTAACTACAACACTAGCACAAAGAGTTGATGACTTAGCCCATCTTTGAATTTCTTTTTGTTTCAAATAATTCAACTAAATATTTGTATAGGGGCGTGAACTAGGTTAAGGATCCTACATTGCAAAGAAAACGTGAACTAGGTTAAGGAACCCACATTGAAAAGAAAACATATTTGACAATGGTTTATAATATAGGTGGGCTACTTCTCTCATTGCCAATTAGTTTTGAGATGGAACCCCATGAATGTTGATATGATATCAGAGTTCTGAACTAGGTTAAAACGCTCGAACGAGCAACCGGTCCAAAAATGGGATCCGGCCAAGATCGACGAATCAAAAGAGACACGATCTTGAGGGGGCGGGTTAAGGATCTAATTATATGTTCCTTTAGTCTCATTATAATTACTTTTCACATTTAAACGATAGGAATTCTTCTATATACGCGTTTTTTTACATTATAATAGTGTTGATATTGTTGGTACTATTGATATAAGTTTTGCTCAAGATCAATAAAGGAGTAGAAAGCTCTTCTTCGCAAAACCATCTCATCTTCGGCCAATCATATTCTTCTACCTCTCCTACAATTACTTTGTAATTGTCATTCTTGCCATGTGTAAATGCCCCTATAAGAATATTTTGTTCGGAGTCAAACAATTTAACAATTTATGAGGGCGGATCGACTTTTTTGGATGATATTGATAATAAGTGTCTCATCTAGCTTGGATCAACAACCTTTTCAAGTTTAAAAACTACAAAATCTTCTTATTCATGAAGTTGCCATCAAATTCAAAATATTAATAAGTCCACCTAACCAGATGTTTCATGTGGGATGAGAAAAATCTCGCTGTTGATCCATCCCTACCTATTTTCTCATCAACTAGCTAGTTAGCTATTCTACTTCATTAGCGACAACCGATCTTAGTGTCATTGGTCATGGAGTAAAATGTGGATAGTGGTCTTTCACGGTTTAGTTTGACTTGACTTTAGAATTAAATTGAACCGAATCGAATCGAACAAATTGATAATAAAATTTGGTTTTAATCAAACTCTAGTAAGTTGGACTTGGTTTTCTTGGTTTCGGGCTTATTAGGTCTTTTTCAAAAACACCTTTTTGAACCCAAATTTCAAGGAGTTTTAGGTCAAATAGATGTCTTAAATAAGGTGTTTGACTTTTTTTTAACCAAAAAAAAAAAAAAATACAAATCATAACGATGTTAAAAATATTTCAACATATTAACAATGGTAAAGTAAGGGGGATTTAATATATAATATATATTCCAAAATTCTTGGTTCAATCAAGTTTTTCTATTATTTTTATAACATATAAACTGAACCGAATAAATAGTTTTCTCACTTTTGAATCAGAGGAGTCCAAATTTAATGTTAAAATTGAATCAAACTAGTTTTTCAATTCAAAGTAAGGTACTCCAAGAAAACAATCAAAGAACAATAAGAGGGAAAGATGTATAGAAATGCCAACTAATAAACTTGGAGGGTGGAAAATCAAAGGGAGTTAGTAATGGCATAACATAATTGACCAAAAATTTTCACAAAAATATTCAAAGTAAAAAACTTTCCAATTCAAGGTAGATACTTTAAACTAATTGATCATCACCCTACTTAGCCAATGAAATGCTTTTAAAATTTAAATAATACTTTCATTCTTGAACTATTAGGATTATTCCATTTTTTACTTTTTATTTTTTTGATTTTCTAGAATCGATGTTGTACGGTTTATGTTGTGGATCACTATAACCGGGCCTCGTTGCTTGGGTTGAGCAACATAGTGACCAACATAGAATGTTGACTCAATACCTTATAGCAAGTGATACATAAGGCCCAAAGCCCTTGTCACTGTGTCATTCCCATGAGATAAGATTACTCAATACCTTATTTTAATTTATCATTTTCAATTTTATTCTTATTATTCATTGATTTTTCAAAATACCTGTTTTAGTCCTTAAATTTTTTTAAAAATAACAATTTTAGTTCTCGTTGTTAATTGTTTAAAAGATAGATAACGAATAAGGACTTCAAATATGTGGATTATGTTAACGTAGGTATGTATCGAAGCCACATATAGGATGGCCAAGACAGGTACCGGGTGGGTGCGGTGACAAAAATATATATTCTTGAACTAAAAGGTGTGGGAAATTGAACCTCCAACTTTAAAAGAATAAGTTATATGATTTTATAGGTGACCTAATGCTCTGTTGATATAGCATTGTTAATTGGTAAAATCAAATGCAAACATATGGGCCTCCCCCATTGAGACACATGTGTCCAGGCCTTAGTTTGAAACATGTCGAGGACGAGAAGGAATGGTCAATGTACGTGTCCCGAAACTAGAGCTTAACTCGGATCCAACTTGGGGAAGATTCTACACCAATAGAAAGTCTACTGGCAGCCATTGGAACATCAATTCTACAAACATAGAAGATCTTCTGATTGTCAGTGGAATATCAACCGAATGTCAGGTACAAACCTCTGTTGATGAAATCTCACATTCTCGAAGGTATTCAATCTCTTGTGTTCAACTACGCTTGACTTAACACTAGCTCGGACTAAATTATAACTTAAGCTTTGAAATGTATGTAGATGAACACACTACATCGTACCACTGCAAGATTCCAATTTGCAGATACCTCGCTAACCCACATCATAATCCACCTCGAGTCACTTGTTGACGTGTCACCTCGACCAGAACCATACATCAACAAAACCAAAATGAGATTTAAATCTACATAAGTTTACTATTTACTTAGACTTTGGCATTTTGGAATCTATTTGTTTTGTACTCATTAACTCAATGGCAGACCCATATGGGTCTTCCATGTGATCAGCTTCTGAATCTTAAAAAGCTTGAAGTTATGGAGAGGGCAGATCCTGTCACATGGAACATGCAAATAAGTAATGCAATAAGTGAGTTTGTTTTTTGTTTTTCTTTCTGTCTGAGAGAAAAAGAAACAAAGCAAAAAGAAAACAAAAAGAAGAGAGAAAAAAAGAAAGAAAGAAAATTGGTGACATACATTAAATATGTTTCAAAGGGATGAAAGAGACAAGTCAACAACATTCTTTAAGGTTTTGTCAAATCAACAGCTTTGGGCCTTTGGATTGGATAAGCCAAAGCCCTTCAACCCATTTGTGTTTTCTTTTATGAACCTTAAATACTTCTCTAAATAATTTCTCCCTAACACTCCTTTTATGAATCATATCTTATACTTATACCTTCCTTCTCCCCAAACTTTGCTCAACTTGAAATGGTTGGTGATCAACCCCTTTCTTAGGTGCAAAATAAAATTTAGGTTTTAACATTTTTTCATCTTATAATTTAATAACACAACCCATACTCTTTATTTATTACAAAAAAATAAGGTTAAATTATAAGTTTTACCTTGAACTTTTAAAGTTGTGTCTGATAGATTTTTCAAACTTTATAGAACATCGAATAAGTTTTTAAACTTTAAAATGTGTCTAATAGCACACTGCATTTTCGATTTCGTGTTCTATAAATTCAATTACTTTAAAAAGTGTTTGTTGAGATATTCGTATATAAATGAAATTTACTCAGCCCATCAGCTTAAGATTTCAGGTTAAGTGGTTATTTATTCGATCCAGACTCATGACCTCTTGGTCAGAAATAGATGTCTTAACCACTTGAGCTATGATTGATTTGGCTTAACTATTTTATTTATTAAAAAAAGAAGGTTAAAATTACTAATTTTTCCTCAGAAACTTGTAGGATGGTGTCTAATAAGTCTTCAAACTTTATAACGGGTAAAATGGAACTCTATATTTAATAATTTTATCAGGCGTGTAATAAGTTAAAGATCTATTCGACATAAAATAAAATAAAAATTTAAAGATCTATTGATACAAAATTAAAACTTTAAGTTAATGGGTTGGATAAATTTTAACCATCACTCAAACCAAAAGTTTAAACTGATGAATTGGATATCTAACACTTTATAAACACGACATTAAAATGTGAAACCTATCAATTTTTTTTCCCTTGAAATAAGAGACCCGTCGAAGTTATAATTTAATAAAAATGTAATAATCAAAAGTCTTCGGCCTCAAATTTTGAGTGTAATATGGTTGTACGAATGAGTATATAATTGGACCATGCATTTAGTCCAATTATATGCATAGCTGGCTTCACGACGAGATTTGTAATAATTGTCCTTTATAGTAGAATTTTAAAAATCCCTACCAAATCCAAAAGAATTCAATGGGAAACATGTTTAATTAAAGTATTTTTAAAGAATCTTTTCTCTATAATATGTACTTGCAAGTGACTTTTTTTTATAATTATTATTTTATTAATACAATACGTGGAAAGTGGGATAAGGATTCAAACTCACGACCTATAAGTCGGAAATAAGTACCAATTACAGTTAAGTGAAATTTTTAATAACTGAAGTCACAAACGTGTAAATAGTTTCATGATAACTTATGATATTACAGGCTACACAATCCCAATAAAAAAAATGAAAAATAATTTTGGAGAATAGGCAACCAAGCAAGATTGAAAATTTAGGGCATATTTGATAACGTTCATGTTTCTCATTATTTTAGAAACATATATGTTAGGTAATGCACCCCGTTTCTGGTTTCTAAAATTTGAGGAACATTTCTAAAAAAATGGACTAAATTTTGGGAACTACAAAAAGTAGTTTCGTTTTTGCTCTTTCCGTTTCTTAATTTTAGATTAAATAAAAGCTATTGTGTATTTATAATTGAAAATACTCCACACCTCTGTTGGTTACCGAACATATYACTCTTTCTCATTCCAAAAAAAATAGAAACAAGAAATAAGAAACGAAAAACAAGAAACACAAAATGAGAACATTACAAACGRCCGCCTTTAGTTTTGTTGATTAAATTTATACCTAAAGTTGAATTGTTTTTTGTTCATGAAAAATGGATCATTGCCAAAGAGGTCCATTTTCCAAGCGGTAATAATAACAATAAAGTCATGCCTAACCAAGAACTCACACTTTTTTGTCACTCTTTAACACGTTTTTGGTGATGAAAATACATTCTATTTGTTGTGTTTTGGAATCTATTCGGATTTCAGAAGAAACTCGTATGTAATTAATTAATTGCAATACATGTTGTTTAATTTGAACAAAAAATGAAAAAATAAGTTCGTTTTTTTTTTACACGATCAAAATATACCATTTTTATGATTTGATATATATAATTAATTCCTAATTCCAAGAAATTTTTWAAAAAAATGATAGATTTGTTTAATAAATGGTTTTGAGAATGCATTCGTGTTAAATTTACACGTACCTAATGAGATGCAAGTTAGTGAGCTCAACTATAATGGGATCCTCTCTTTTTTTGGAGTAAATTTCGACACATTTATGTTAATATTGATATTTAAAATTTTGATTCGTGCACACATTAGGAATATTATTCAAAAGTTTCATTATTTTGAAGTCAATTACATTGATGGCTTCCTAAATRTTATGTTCAAGTTGGTCCAGTGGGATGAAATAAAGTCCAAGCCCTCTTTCCCTCCCCATTAGATATTAAAGTATTAAATTTCCGTGGAAATGTTAGTCAAATATTTTGATATATCAATAGTTCAAAATTGATATAATTAACCGATTAATCAACATTTTCATAGTATCACAAAAAGTTGAAAAGATATAAAAACAAATATCAACAAAGTATTGCCAGTATCAGTAGCATAATATTAATGTTGATAATTTGAACTTGTTTAAAAGAKACAAAGGCTTATTTGTCCATTAAATTTTTTATTTTTATAATTCTTTCAAATATATCTATCAAAAATCWACTTCACATTTGATAGATATTTTTTCTAGACATTTTTGTTAACACCAATATTTGAAATCGTGTTAAAYAGTAAATGAATTTTGTTTTTTTATAAATGGAAACAACAATGCAAGTAAAAGTTTCCTAAAACTAAAAATAAAAAATAAAAAAATAAAAAAAGGCAAAAGTGGAGAAAGAATGACAGTCCAATGAAAAGGTGCCACGTAATATAATTCTCAACGAAATTTCAAAAAAAAAAAGCCGCATGATTAGGAAAAACGGCCATCCAATCAAATTCGTTGACGGTGACTAGACGGAGGCTGAAAATGAAAGCCRCGTGGCCTCCGCATTTCCCCCAAGTGCATTTTTACACCACATCTTCCACATTCAAAAAATACTTCTAAAATTTAATTTTTTATATTTATTTTACAATTCTAATTCCCAACTTATTATTAATTAAAATTAAGCCTTTAAACTTAACATAAATAGAGAAATKGGTCTTTATCGATGACTCGATTAAACTTTTCGTCTATTGGTCAGTCCTTAAAATAAGTCGTCATTTAAGTTATTTTATTGGACAAGGTTTTTAATTTTTTTTTGTTTTCTTATGAAAATATGTTATTATTGTGTCGTTGTAGCCCCTCATAAAATGTCTCTCATAAAATGTCTCCGTGTACACTTTACCTATTAGTTAAAACAACAGTTGTAAGAATACAAAGTACGTACATGTCATTTGCAATTACAAGACATCGAAGAATCCAAGTATAACAAATTTGTTAGATATTATTAAATGATTAAAAATTTATCATACCCGTGCTTTTTGAATTTATTGGTAATTTAATCATATTTAAGATGATATCAATGTACGAGGTCTTGTGTTCGAACTTTTGTATTGTCATTTCTATCGAGTTTGTAAGAAGTACAAACAAAGTTTCACGTTGGCTAGAGAAGAAAGTGATTTATGGTATATAGATAAACTCAATTATATCCATTAGTATGAGACTTTTCGGGTGAAATTAGAAGCAAAGACATGAAGAATATATCTCATGGGAAATGTTTGGGCACACAATTTTACTATTGCAGCATGTAATTTGTTCAATACCACTCGATGATAAGTCATATTGTGGAATAGTAAGCATTAACTATTCTTTACCTTATTCCTAACGATCTTCCATCTYGACTCAACAATAATCTTTTCTGGTGGGACACGTTATTGAAAATTTCTTCTTCATCACATCGACGTCCTAGATCACGTCTAAATAAAATAGATGAGAGCTAATCAACTTTTCTAGCCATTTGTCCAAAAGAATAAATTTACAAGATTATGATAATTCAAATATCAATATCATGCGTTTCGTAATCATACATAGTCTTATAACCAATATCATGTTAAAATTGATAACTTCAAAATATTTAATCAATACGTTTAATTAACTCATTTATTGACTCATAATATAACTCAACAATTGACTTGACCAATCTGTCACAATTATTATTTGTAATTAATGATCATAATTATGTGAGAAGAATAAAATAAAATAGTGGATGTGGACAAGATACAAAAAAAATATTGGACACGTAATTAGTTTTTGAATTTTCGCTAATTATATTCCCATCCTATGTTTTAAAATATTTTAAACACCCCTATAATTCGAAAAATTAACAAATCATATCCTCCTTATTTTTGCTCATTAGATCCATTAGTTTCCAACATAACTTGGCTTAGAGTAAGCAATATCTACAAAATTCATTCGAAGTAACAATAATAAAATTTGATGTTTACTAAATAATAATAATAATAATAATAACAAATTTGATGAAGGTTAAATTATATTTTTAACTTTAGTTTCATTATTATCTTTCTTATAGGATTACTAGATTTTCTTGTTATTAACATAGAATCATATGTAAGTTCAACATTGTAAATTATTTATGATATAGCAAATGAATTTCATGATACGTTGGATTGTACTGACTTATTTTTAGGGTACAATCATAAATAACTTGTCATGTTAGATCTTTTGTTTTTGAAATACATTTGAATATGGACATCTTCTCAAATTTTTCTTCTTTTTTCTTCAACTTTAATATTTGCAGAGTGGGGGACAAGGGACAAGTTAAATTTTTTCTAAATTGGTACAAACTTTTGCATCATAATAAATATGATCTCACATTTTAAAAAATTTAAAGGGTCAAAACGAGAGGAAAACTAGAAAATCTCAAGTATTTTTTGATTTGCAACCATATAATATGAGTTAGGAGTAATTATCCTCCTCTTTCGTTCTTCGCTTTGTCCGTAGGGATTGAATCATATATTTAATTAGGTTAGATGCGAAACGACATACAATCTAATAACCTCAAAATATGGTTGAAAAAAAAGGTTTAAATACTATTTTGATTCTTTTGTTTTTAAAAAAGTTATCGAACACAAATTTAATTTTATAAGGAACACAAACTGTTTAAACATAAACTATATTGAGAAATTTCGATCGAAAAAAATAAGATAAAAGGATGAAATAAAAATAATAGTTTGCAAAGTAGATGGAATGGGGGTAAAAAGGTAAATGAAGAATGGAAGGGAGAGAGAAAGGAAAAGTAATAAGAAAGGGGAGGCAGGGGCATTTTGGGGAGAGGGGGGAAAAGAGGGAGTGGGACGTGACTTGGTTAAAGAGGAGTTTCCGGAAATGGAATAAGTTTCACGTGT